CTTACTTGTACTGAATAAAAAAATAAGCAAAATACTCTGCACAGTCCGCATCCCTAATCACTTGCCCGTCTCGTAATTTTATTAGTTTTCTATACTCGCGCGCGCACGCGCACGCTCACGCGCACGCACGCACGCACGCACGCAAGCACACGCACACACGCAAAAATTAATTCTCATTACTTAAAGATACTTTTTTCATGATGTCTGATACCTGAGTCAATTGCTAAACATTCGTCACCCAATGAATGCCTCACAACATGGTTTTGAGCCAGTTACAACCATCGACTTTTTGCATGTCTTACTTAACTCATGTCACTCCATGTAGTGAAAGCCCGCCCTACAATACGCTTACTGGTGGTACGAAGCTGCCACTCGAGAACCTTTCTTTCCCATAGGTTGATAGTTTTCGAGCTATATATGGCAGACCCTTTGCTACTTTAGCTTACTGACCCACTGGGCTAAGAAAAGCTCTACAGCTCGCTAAGCGACCTTAGTCGTGTGCCACACTAGCGCGGCGCGTCTACGATGAGCAGGAAAAATAACAATACGAGACTAACGGGAGGTGCCACGCTGGCGCGTCTGGCGACCACGAGAAGCGGAGGACATAGTACGTGTTCGCGCGTCTTGCGTTTTAATCAAATCGTAATTTTTCCTTGATGCAAAATATAAATAAGGAGGCGTTTACTAGCGAAATAATATCACAAACTCACATTTTAATTTACATTATATCTTGTGTAAATATTCCCTTCTTTGCCAATTTTGAAAACCTAATTTTTAGCCCGCGCAAAAATAGCAGGTAGAAACCACATGTCATGTAGCCGCCTCAACGTGGCATACTACAGCGGCAAGGCGCAGCGTGTACACTCCCCCGCCTCCGCCTCGCTTCTCGCAGTCGCTCTAGCGTAGCCAACGCTTTAGTGCTCTTGTAGACGGAGATGGGCTTAAACGTTAAAAAATAATAACACTGCTAAATGCTAATGCTAGAAATAATTAACAGTTAAAATTAGCAGTTATTTTTAGCAGCTGTTAAATTTAGTCACAGACAGATTTTTAACACATAATTAATTCTCATTTCCTTCATACTTTTCACAGGCTTAGGACTGTCAACTTTTTCTGTTGGCGTATTTATAATGAGAATCAATTTATTTACGATTTCTTTTTTTCATATCTGCTTTTTTAGTATTCGTAATTATAATTATCTTTTTTTTCTTGTTTTTTTTTTATCTTTTGTTTTTTTTTCTTATATCTACTTATCACTTAGTAACATAACATATATTAAAATTTTATATATTTTTTAATTCCATTTAAAAATGATAATTGTTAATGACAAATTATACGTACCAATTTTTTTTACGGTATCGCTATCCGTAAAAAAGTTCCATATTTCACCTTTTTTTGGCGTTGTATATCCATTTTAGTTGTTTTCTTTCAATTTGTAAGTATTCCGTTTCAAACGCAGACAACACTACACAAACAGTCAAATAATTGGAATTTTCACTCACAACACTAACTAGATTACAAACTCGCGTAAACCTTCGTAATGAAAATCAGTCTTTATTTAACACTAGTTAAATATTATAATAAATTATTTCCAAATTCAGCAGTTAGCACTTAGCAGTTAATTAAATGAACTCGCTCGACCTTAACATTCTAACTGTGACTGAACACTAAATACAAAATTAGTAGTTGCTAAATAAATCGCTATGTTGAAAACAATTCAATAGAGACGGAAACGGAACACGTGCGTCGTGTGTCCTTTTTTTTACGTTAGTACCTACTCTTATTAGTTTGTGTTTTTTTTGTTGTTGCCGTCGCATCTGACTGCGGTCTGCAGTAGTATGATAAAGCGAGACAAATATATATCCGGCGTCCGTGTTTGGTGCGGATGGGAGCACTGTCGATGTCCAGCCAGCAAGACCATTATTGTTTTTTGTGAGTTGTGACTGCTAAATTTAACAGCAATCTCAGAACTTATTTAACAGGTGTTGACACTAAAAAAATTTAGCAGTGTTAATTTAGCAGCTTATTAATTTTAGACCCATCTGTAGTAGACGCTAAGAAAAGTCGCGCGGGTCTATACGAGAATTCATGCCGTTTCTACACACGAACTGTGTACAATGCTCCGGCGCTGACAAAGAAAAAAATCTTGTCTACGCTAGACAAGACGAACTCTGTGTTGTTGCGGTGAAAGGAGGGCCGGAGTAGGTGAGGTGCTTAGATAATTTGAGTTTATATGTACAAATAAACTCAAATTATCTAAGCAACTCACCTACTCTGCCCCTCCCTTCACCGCAACAACACAGCTCGTCTTGTCTAGCGCAGACAAGATTTTTTGTGTGGACTTGTTTACGTACTTTTTTATTTATATATATATATATATTATATGCAATAATCATTTTTTGGTTCGTAGTTAACATGATTTTATTCATTGACTAGTGCACTATACCCTACGCACGACTGACCGAAAACAATCTTATCGTTTATACACATCTCTATTTATTTTGTACGAAGCTACATCCAACAAAATTCTTGTCATATATATGATGAATTGGTCTTGTGGCCGTGAAGGAAAAGGGGAGATCTCCCGCCGGGCAAGGTGTTCTGCCCGGGGAGCGGCCAACACTCCGAGTGATAGTTCGGAGATGTTCTATATATACTGTTTATGATTCGGAATGTTGATAGCGCGATTTAGGCTTCGGTGTGTTTTCGCTTGTGGCGCGACGACAGCGTCGCTACATCACCCCCTGCTCAGACCGGAGGTCGTTAGTGCAGCCTTGTTGCCGACGAATGTGCAAGTGCCAGTGGATTGCCTTGTAGTCTGCGGTGAGTCGAGAAGAAGGCAAGTAATCTGCGAGAGTGCCGTGAAGCAGAGGCGAGCAGTAAGGCTCAGAGCCGTGCCGAACACTGTATAGCGCAGAGAGTAGCTTGAAGGAACAGGAAGCATTATTATTCCAGTGCTGCGATGAACCTTGTGAAGCTAGATGGCTTGCAGGATATGAAGACTCCAGACGATATCTGCTCTGGAGCGAATGGATGGGGTATTCCATGACGATGATGAAGCTTGAAGTTTCCGAAGGTTGTCGGTTGCGCGTTCAGATCACGTCGGGGTCACCACTGTGGCCGAAGTAGGAAAAGGGGAGATCTCCCGCCGGACAAGGTGTTCTGCCCGGGGAGCGGCCAACGCTCCGTGTAATAATTCGGAGATGTTCTATATTTACTGTTTATGATTCGGAATGTTGATAGCGCGCTTTTAGGCTTCGGTGTGTTTTCGCTTGTGGCGGCGACGGCAGCGCCGCTACATCACCCCCCTGCTCAGACCGGAGGTCGATAGTGCAGCCTCGTTGCCGACGAATGTGCAAGTGCCAGTGGATTGCCTTGTAGTCTGCGGTGAGTCGAGAAGAAGGCAAGTAATCTGCGAGAGTGCCGTGAAGCAGAGGCGAGCAGTAAGGCTCAGAGCCGTGCCGAACACTGTATAGCGCAGAGAGTAGCTTGAAGGAACAGGAAGCATTATTATTCCAGTGCTGCGATGAACCTTGTGAAGCTAGATGGCTTGCAGGATATGAAGACTGCAGACGATATCTGCTCTGGAGCGAATGGATGGGGTATTCCATGACGATGATGAAGCTTGAAGTTTCCGAAGGTTGTCGGTTGCGCGTTCAGATCACGTCGGGGTCACCACTGTGGCCGAAGTAGGAAAAGGGGAGATCTCCCGCCGGACAAGGTGTTCTGCCCGGGGAGCGGCCAACACTCCATGTAATAATTCGGAGATGTTCTATATATACTGTTTATGATTCGGAATGTTGATAGCGCGATTTAGGCTTCGGTGTGTTTTCGCTTGTGGCGGCGACGGCAGCGCCGCTACAGTCTTATCTGCCGCAGACACGGTGAAACTTCTTAGCGTGTACAAGAGCCCTTAGGCATCCTCAGTCAGTAGAGAAGGACTACGTCTCAGATCCATGTCATTTGAGACGTAGTAGACATTACTGCACACTAGTACACACACTGGTTGTTATCACTCGTCTTCAAGGTTTGAGGTAAATGTGATATTATCTCTCCCAAACGCTGTCCACTCGAGTTGGATCCTTGACATCCTGGCTGTCGGTTACTTACTCAGTTAAAATTTTTAGGGACAAAAGAGCACACAATCCACCTGATGGTGAGTGGATACTGCGGCCCATATATATAGATACCTACATCTACCCTCGATTAAAGATCAAAATGCAGATGTGTTGCCACTCCTGACGATTAAGATGGAATGCCTATAAATAAAATAAATGATATATAAAATAAATAAAAAATGTCGAAATTAAAATAAATGAGGTTACAATAAAAAGCCACAAAAACATTGAACATATCTTTACTTACAGTATGGCAATAAGTGTAAATTAAGCTAAAATGAATTCAACATTTTTCCTTAGAGCCATTGTAAAATGAGTTTAATGACTTAAGTACAATTAAATATAGAACAACTATCACCTACACGCCTGCGCTCACAGATGGCACTTTCTTGTAGCATCCTGCGGCATGCCGAAAAAGTCAAGACGCGCTCGTATCGGGCTCTCGCGCAAATTGCTGAGATCGCCGCCGCAACGGGCTAGATAAAACCCTGTTTCAATGACTTGGCGCTCACATACCTTTAACAACATAAAGTAGTCTATGCGTTTCACGTGATGCATGGGCGTGCCGCAGTATCCCATTGAATACGTCACACGAGACGTTTCGGTCTATTCGTGACGAAATAAAGGAATGTCAGTGCTAAGATCCTTAAAATAACGTCGAAAATATTTTTTCCACGAAAAAATCCTTTGACACCCCGCGCCATGCTGTACATCTACAGGCACAGCCTCATCGCAGGCATACTTCGGAATGTAGACTTGTTAATTGTTCTTCCAAGGGAAAACTTGCCCAATACATGTTTCTATTATATGAAATTAGTCTATTGAATTAATAATGTGGATACAAATCAAATTCAAATCAATCAAATAGGCAAATTATTAGTCTCAAAATTGAGATTCTACAAACAGCTGTCTTTTCTTCAGCAAATCAAGATGTGTTCCATCGAAGGGTATAAGCCCTGTTATCTTTGGACCATCTAACATAGTCAATTCAATTATGCAATACAATGTCTGGAGACACTCTTTTGCTTTTTGCAGAGCCTAAAAGTAAAACAAGAAATAGTTACATAAATACTTATAACTAACAAATATGTGTCAAATTAGCTGTTATTTAGTGATTCCGTTAAACTAATAACACTGCTGTGACTTAAAAATGAATTTCAAAAGTTCCCTTGATCCGAGATTTTAAAAATTATATTAAGGTGAACCTAAACCTACTTAAGAATACCATCGTAAAATAGCAGCGTAATGCTGCTGTGTTTCATATGGCGAGTATAGAGAACTGAATGGACACCTTTTTTAGTGGAAACGAGGCATTCCATCTTCCACAACGCATCTGCATTTTGATTCGTAATCGAGGACAGATGGGCCACAGCAACCACTTACCAACACGTGGACTGTGTGCTTGTTTCTCACTTCCATCCTAAAAAAAAAATTAAAAATACTTGCCGAAACCGCCTTTTCCTTTAACTCTGGTTTCGTCGCCATTTGCTTCTTTATTTGATTCATTTCCAGGGGAGTGAACCCAACCAGTTTTGAGAGCACATCACTGGTAAAGTCCACATCCATACTGCCAGTGCCGTCTACAATAGCACATTTTAAAGTCCAACCGTCTTTTCCTACTGACAACTTGGACAACAGCTTCATTATTTGTCCTTTCACTTTGAAAACTTTACCAGACTTTTCATTTACACTGAGCTCATTAATTTGCTTTATATATACAAATGGTTCTTTTGGTAAAGTGATTGGAGTTTTATTAACACAGTCACTGACTCCTCTATCATGCGCATCAAACTTTGCTTCCATCTCTTTAATATAATCCTCATCTTCAATGATAAAGTCCTCATCTTCTGGATATTCATCAATGCTATTTACAACTGTGTTCGGGTTCATTTTAGCTTTCTTCTCTGGATTTGAACTGTTATCAGTGAGAGGCCTCTTGCCTGGATTCTCAGTGAACTGTGCTTCTATAGCAGCAAGCTGATCCACGTCAATATCATCTTCAACAAATGTGTCCAATTCTTGATTGTTCACAACAAATGTGTCCAATACTTGATTATTGACTCTTGCTTCTGGTCTGAATGTTTCTTCAAAAGTTGGTTCCGCTGTTGGACAGTTTCTGCCGTAGCTTGATGCAGTTATTTGAGCATGTGTTGCATTCGTGTCTTGGTAAGTATTTATTGTTTTATTTTGGCCTGAAAACACATATGTACAATTGAGCAAAAAAATCAGCCGTAGATCGAACTATTGCTACATTACTTGATACTAATTTCAAACTTAATGGTGGCTGTAAAATTTGCTGCAAGTGCAGCTTTGCACAGGTAGTCAGGTTGAAGTTAATGTGTAATTAAAGCTTACTTAGTATACAATATATTAAGGAAATTAAATCCATTAGTAGCTGCATGTGAAATATAATTTATTATCAACTTTTGTTTAAACATAAGGTACTCTGCTTCTACGCTAAAAAAAATACATTTTGTTTAATTGTTGATAAAAAGGAAGCTTTGTTTATTTATTAACTTTTTGTACCACTGTATTTCACAGCCGCCATTAAGTTAATATCACACTCTGGTATCAAGAACATTGCCTTCAAATTCAGAAAAGACAAATGCTTTAATGGTGTAAATATGAAACTAATGTTTTCCTTACATACAGCTACAGGCAAGTGTAGTTTTGCGGACAACAAACAAGCCAATGAATTGGTGTCGACTAATTCCTGCACTTCGCCGCCCAGAAGTTCTATATTACTTTCTGTAAGTAGAAACATCCCGCGTCGACATTCAATTGGGCCTGAAAAATCAAATTACCGTCTATTTAGAATTAATATTGTTATACTTCCGAATAAATTTCTTTTTTTTTTTCAGTCAACTAAACAAGTGATTTAAAAGTACCACAAACACAAGGATTAAAACTCGCGATTGAGGTAGTCCAGAATTTAGAAACAAGGGAAAAATCAGAAAATAAGACCTGAAAATTAACAACTTGCAATGTTGCACAAATATAACACTCAGTTAACATTACATAATAAAATCCGCGGCGCAGTGAAAAGCTGTGGCCAGTATAAAGAGACAATCTCGAGTTTAAACTCTAACTTTACAATGTCAAAATGTATGTAACAATATCATATTTTAGACTTCAACGACCGTGTTGTAAGTAAAAGTCGACTTTAAAGTAATAAGTAAAAATATCTACATTCTGAAGATGGTACTATAACATAGTGTATTGAAGAACCATTTTGAGTGGACTTGTGTCGTGGAATGTCATTTAAATATGCTGTGTTAGTCATTACTTTAACATATGATAGCGAAATTTGGGTATGGCAGATGAAGTACGAGAGTAGAATAAACGCAGTAGAAACGCGGTCGTTAAAGAGTATGTTAGAGCTGAATTTGAGTGATAGGATGAAAAATTGTGAGATAAGAAAAGAGTGCGGTTTGCAAGATGATGTTGTGACCAGGATTACGAAAGGAATGCTTCGGTGGTTTGGTCATGTAGAAAGAATGAATGAGAAAAGAGTGACAAAGCAAATTTATGTTGCAGAAGTGATTGACAGAATCGCAAAGGGACGTCCTAGGCAGTGGCGAAGCTTCCATTAAAGCCGAAAAGCCGGGCTTGCCTTATTAAACCTGAATCAATCAATAATATCAATCAATAATATCAACTAATAAAATAACTCGTAAAATGTTTCAAGCTATTTCAAATTTCCCGCGCACTCTGTTCTGTTCGAAACATGTCGACCGATGAACTCGTATTGCCTTAGCGATACTGCTGCCGTCATAAAAAATGAGTTTTAATAGAGCTAATAGTTGTCTCCCTCGCTCGCGTGGGATTTATACGGGGCTTTCGAGAAGACGATCGCTCTCTTTCTAACCTATGGCAAATATTCTATAATGAAATATAACTACGATTGTATATATAGCAATTAGTATAGAGATTTAAAGCCAGGCTTTTGGGAATAAATTTGTTAAAAGCGGAGGCGCGCGGGCAATACGTTTGCAAGTTCATTTCACGTTTCAATGTTTATTTACTCTGTGTGCTTATATTAAGGCCGAATACGACGCGAATGACCTTGCTAGTTTCGCAGCAAACCACGCGCCGCCAGTACCTACGCTTTGTTTATATAGACATGTATAATACCTATAATCAAAGCCGTACGGGCTTTGATTATATTTGACTGAACTAGCTCAGATGCAGAGTAATGAACAACACAGAGAGCATTGCTTACTTCTTAAAAAATTTTTTATTATTTATAATATTAGTTCCAATAGATTATAAATTCTGTACTTATTCGTTATAAAATATTGTTCGAAAAGTTATTGAATTGATAACGATTTTTTTTCTTAATTGGTGCATCGTATGTAAAGAATCTCATAACTGAAAATGTTTGTTCTTGTGAGTCTTACAAGATGCCGTAATGCAAATTGCATAAATAATAAAGAAAAAAACTAAAAAGTCGGTGATTGCCCCACAGTGGGGATAGGTACTGTGTATGTAAATTCTCACAAGACTACTCCGACTGGTCAATCACTTCACAATCCGAAGTATTTCGGTTTTTCTTAATTATGTACTTTTACCCCATGCTTTCGGACAATACATTGACTGACATTATTTGCGGTCTCTGTGCTTGCACTACTCTGTACATTCTTTTCCGACTGGGTCTTGATATTTTACATTTTTAGTGTTTCTCACTTGAAACTAGAAAAGTATAAATGATCAGTTTGGCTAATGTAAATGAGTAAAAATGCAACCTATTAGGCAGCCTCAAACAAAAAATTACCTTACTAAATATAAGTATTAACCTCAAAATACAACATTCGAGCAGCGTTCATGCGATAAACTCTCTTTGTTTTACCACTTAGGTAACATTTATTTCTTTTCCTACCCATATTTACATTTATAGACACTTAAACGCGTATAAAACAATAAATTAACGATTTTCGCTACAGACACATCGACTGTTGTTACCTTACGTCACACGTCGAAGCGGCTGGTAATTTATTACGGCAAACTTTTATCTGGCAATATACGATATTATTATTAGGTGTTTTTAATTAAAACGAATTATGTTAATAAATAATATTTTGTATCGAAAATAAAGATAGCAGGTACCTTCGGAATTACAATACAAACATTTTTACGTAAAAGAATTATTCCTAAATTAAAATTCACAGAGTTTTGGAAGAACAATAATTTTATATATCATTTCTTAACATTCTTTTATTTGTTGGTATATTCATTTATTTTAAAATTTTAAAATGACGGTGACATTGTGAAGGACCCGAACAAACCTACAAAAATGTTTTAAAGCTTAGAATTACTTCAGGTCAAAGTTCTAGTCAAGAGAAATACATTAATTTTCGCCAGTTCTCTTCGTATTCGGCCTTAAGCGATTTAATATTACGAGTTCAAAATGTATGCTTTTTTAAAGATTTTTAATGAAAATGGAGGATAATAGTGTTCCTTGTGATGAATTGAAGTGTGTTAAAGTGATAATCGGAGAGGAAATCTTTAAACTTTGTTGAGATAATACACAAGGTTAAGAGTGTATTTCAGACTTATCAATTATCGCAATTAAAAACAGTTATTGGTACAATTAAAACGTTCACCAACATTTTACGTGGACGTAATTAAATCTTTCCATAAGAAAGCGAGACGATTCCACTTATCTTATCTTATCTCTTATCCATTAAAATGTAAATAATTTTTTTTGTACATAGTTTGTACTTTGTTCGTGTTTTACTTTTGTTCATGTATTGTATTGGATGTAAATATTTTTTTTCTTTCGCTTAACAAACCCAAACGGCTTTCTTCAAAGCCACCGAAGCTATGCAATTGCTGATATGTAATACAATCTATCTAGCAGTAGTTTACCTTCTGTGTGCTTTGTTAAACACGTCCTTGACAGCACTGAATATGAAACTGAAGCGTGGAGACAGATCAAGATTGGTGTATTTTTATAAAACTGCTAAAAACAACAATCTATATTTTTATCAATTTATATCTTGGGCTTGCCCTAGCTTGGAGCTCTAGCTTCGCCACTGGTCCTAGGTGAAAGTTTATTGACCAAATTAGCGATATATTGAAAATGGGCCAAATTAGGAGTACCCTTAACCGACGAGCATGTTTGCGTAGGTATATGGATGTGGAGGAGGTGTAAGAATCGTGCCAAATGGAAGTCTATAGTATCTGCCTAGCCCTCTGGATGACAGGCGTGAGTTTTATGACATTGATAATAATCCCAAAACGGGTATTTAAAGTCGATCTCATGCCGAAAATGGAATATTTCTCACCTCAACTTCAATTTGAATTTGGTTGCGTACTTCCCAATGCCGTGCCGTGCCGTGTAGTGGCGGTTAAGAATATCCACTACCCCATATCTTCCCGTGGGTGCCGTAAAAGGCGACAGAGGGAAACAGGCAGGAGATGGGCAGCAGCATCTTCCTGATAACAGCAACTGTACGACAAAAAAAAACTGGGTTTGCCAACCCGCTCGCCAAGCGTGGCAACTATGGCAATATATCCCCCATGAAAAATTACACAAATAGACGGCCCCCAGTCCCCGGCGGCCCCGCTATTCCTGGCTACGGTGGCGACCATGGTAAAGGCGGGGCAGGGGGTACTAAGAATCTCCGGTGGAGGTTCGGTTGCCACCTACGACGACTCGACCTGGCAACATTTAACGCACGCACCCTGAGGACTGACGAGAAGATCCTGGAGCTGGAAGAAGAGATAGACAAGTTGCGCTGGAGTATTATAGGATTATCCGAGGTCCGAAGAGAGGGGGAGGACACGGTGATTCTCGAATCCGGCAACTTGTTCTATCACCGGGAGGGCGACCATCTGTCCCAAGGAGGTGTCGGATTTATCGTCCACAAGTCTCTCGTCAACAACGTTGTAAAGATTGGGAGTGTGTCGACGAGGGTCGCGTACCTGATACTCAGAATCACCATACGGTATTCGCTGAAGGTCATACAGGTTTACGCACCAACCTCGGCACATCCCGATGAGGAGGTGGAGGAAATGTATGAGGATATTTCCAAAGCAATGCGTTCCTCCAAAACCCACTACACGGTGTTGATGGGAGACTTCAACGCAAAACTAGGCACAAGAGAAAACGGTGAGCTGAAGTTAGGGAAATTTGGAGTAGGGCAACGGAACCGAAGGGGCCAGCAGCTGGCCGACTTTATGGAGAAAGAGGGACTCTTTATGATGAACTCTTTCTTCCAGAAGCGGCCCCACAGGAAGTGGACCTGGTCGAGTCCCGACGGTTCGACAAAAAATGAGATTGACTTCATTATGACGACCAGACGCCAACTGTTCAGTGATGTCTCAGTGATCGCAAGGGTGAAAACTGGCACCGATCACCGAATGGTTAGAGGCACACTGAACCTAAACGTTAAGTTGGAGAGGTCTCGTCTAATGAAGTCAACGCTCTGTCCCCCTCGTGCTCTAATCCAAAATCCCGAAAACTTTCAGCTCGAGTTACACAACCGCTTTCAGTGCCTACAAGATTGCAATGCAGTGGACGATATGAATGACAAGCTCTTGGAAACTGTCCATGCGGTCGGAGCTAAGTTCTGCAAGACCCGCCGCAGAAGCACAAAAACTCTCCGATCACACTCTTAATCTCATGGCTGTTAGACGGGAGATGAGGCTGCAATCGTCAACAGATTTGACAGCATACAGGCAACTGAACAGACAGATCTCCAAATGCATGCGGCGAGACTTACGCAACTTTAACACTGCTCGTATTAAAGAAGCGATCGAGCGGAACCAGGGCTCCAAAGTCTTTGCCAGAGATCTGTCTGCCCGTAAGAGCCAACTGTCAAGGCTGAAGACTGAGTGTGGCAGCATCGTTTCCGGGACACCTGAGATTTTGAGTGGGATTGAGAGGTTCTACGGGCAGCTGTACACATCAACGTTGGAGCCACACGCAAGTGTGAGTAACGATCCAAGAGCAAGTCTTATCCGACACTATTCCGATGATATCCCGGACGTCAGTCTAAGCGAGATTAGAATGGCTCTCCAGCACCTTAAAAACGGCAGGGCCCCAGGCGAGGATGGAATTACAGCGGAGCTTCTGAAAGCGGGTGGAACACCGGTACTTGAAGTCCTTCAGAAGCTCTTCAATCCCGTCCTCCATGGTGGCACTACTCCAGAGGCGTGGAGCAGAAGTGCGGTGGTCTTGTTCTTTAAGAAAGGCGACAACGCTCTCTTGAAGAACTACAGACCGATTTCCCTTCTGAGCCGCGTCTACGTGCTGTTTTCGAGAGTCATTACGAATCGTCTCGCACGCAGACTCGACGACTTCCAGCCTCCCGAACAAGCCGGTTTCCGAAAAGGCTTCAGTACCATAGACCACATACATACTCTGCGGCAGATTGTACAGAAGACTGAAGAGTACAATTTGCCACTTTGCCTGGCGTATATGGACTATGAGAAAGCCTTTGATTCCGTCGAAATTTGGGCGGTGCTGCAGTCCCTTCAGCGGTGCCAAGTTGACTGTCGGTATATCGAAGTGCTGAAGTGTTTGTACACTAGGGCTACGATGGCTATCCGAGTACAGAACCAGAGCTCGAAACCTATCCAACTGCAGAGAGGTGTAAGACAGGGTGACGTTATATCCCCGAAACTCTTCACCGCTGCTTTGGAAGACGTTTTCAAGCTACTGGACTGGAAAGGATACGGTATTAACATCAATGGCGAGTACATCACTCACCTTCGATTTGCCGACGATATAGTCCTTATGGCAGAATCGCTGGAGGACTTAAGCACTATGCTCAATGACCTCAATAGTGCCTCCCAATGGATAGGTCTTAAGATGAACATGGACAAAACAAAGATCATGTTTAATGTCCATGTCACACCTATGCCGGTAGTTGTTGGGAGCACTATGCTCGAAGTTGTTGACGAGTACGTTTACCTGGGACAAATAGTCCGACTAGGTAAGTCCAACTTCGACCGAGAGGTCAATCGACGGATTCAACTCGGCTGGGCAGCGTTCGGGAAATTACGACACATCTTCTCGTCAGGTATACCTCAATCTCTGAAAACTAAAGTGTACAACCAGTGCGTGTTGCCAGTGATGACTTACGGATCAGAGACGTGGTCCTTCACTGCTGGCCGTATGAGGACGCTCAAGGTCGCTCAGCGAGCTATGGAGAGGGCTATGCTCGGAGTTTCTCTGCGTGGTAGACTCAGAAATGAGGATATCCGCAGTAGAACCAGAGTGACCGACATAGCACAACGGATTAGTAAGCTGAAGTGGCAATGGGCCGGCCATATAGCTCGAAGAACCGATAACCGATGGGGAAGAAAGGTTCTCGAGTGGCAGCCTCGTACCGGTAGGCGTAGTGTAGGGCGACCCCCCACTAGATGGAGTGACGACCTGGTAAGATATGCAGGAAGTCGATGGATGCAGGTGGCTCAGGACCGTGCTTTGTGGCATTACTTGGGGGAGGCCTATGTTCAGCAGTGGACTTGTGAAGGGCTGTGATGATGATGATGATGATGATGACTTCCCAATAGAATTTTATAAAAAAAAGTTATTCAGATATTTCCTTATTATTTTAAAAATATGGTCATGCTTTGTATAGTAGCTTTTTATAAAAGCTACACTTGTTGTATGATAACTAACCTTTGATTAACATTTTACAGCCGGGCGTGATGTCGCAACTCAAATTCCTCATTGGTCTATATTCAATAGCCGACACTTCCTGCACGCCATCTGTCAGATACAACTTTATCATTCTGAAATTTTAAAGCAAATGATTCTAATATTTCGGATTTATCAAATTTATAATGTCTAAATGCATTAAAGTTATATGTATGTACTACTTAATATAAGGTCGAGACTTGGTTGTTTGCAACAAGCGTTACAACCCATGAGCTCAAACATACTTAGTATGTGCCATAAAACAGTCTCGTGCCAAGCGCCCAGCGTTGCCGCACAGATTTTATTTGCGGTGCCTGTTCAAGTACATAGTACATATTACTTCTACTTAACTCAACTACTTCTTATAGTTTTTGAAGTGAAAACTTCTTTAGCGGCGTTGTACACTTTTTTGTAATAGGTAAAAAATGTTAAATTCGCGTCAGGATACGTGACCTGATCGAAAATTCATAAGACGTCGTCGAAATTATGAATGGAAGTTGATTTTTCTGAGAAATAAACTTTTTAATGTAATATAAATTGTCATGTTTGTGTATGATATATATAGTGCAACCCGTCGTTTTTTTTTTCTTTCATTAAATACTTCTACATACTATATAAATTGTCTATTATTCACGCCCTTTTACAACCTTTTTTAAGGGCACTATTATTTAGAAATTTCTGTCCGTGCCTATTTTTCAAGCGACTTCAAAAAAAGGAGGATGTTCTCAATTCGATTGTATTTTTAAAATGTGTTACCTCAGAACTTTTTTCTAGGTGAACCGATTTTGAAAATTGTTTTTTTTTTTATTTTATTTGAAAGCTAGTGCTTCTCATGTGGTCCTATATAAATTTAATCAAGATCTGTCCAGCATTGTTTGAGTTATCCTTAATAATGCGTATTTAATTGACTTCAACTTACAACTTCAATTGATGATGTTCTCATTTTATTTATATTGAAGTTTTAGAATTTTTTTACATTACTGAATGTGTCAAGATAATTCTATAGAAGTTCCAAAATTTCGATTGACTAACACTAAAAAAAATTTTCGGAATAAATGCAAAAAATTTCAAAAATGTAATGCAACAGTCTGACACAAAATTTAAATGGGTACTTCATTAACAAAACCTACATAAAAATAGATCAATATTTTGTACTCTGTCAGTATGTACATAATATGTCCTCCGGCAGATGATATAATTAAAATTGACAAAAACTGAAGTGATGGGCGAATAAAAATAAAAATTTTGGAGCAGGGATAGTCACAGTGCACACTGTACATGGATGTATCATTACTTAGAGCAGTATGAAAAAATATAAAGTTTAATTTTACCTATGACTTGAAATCTTTTCTTCAAAGTTAGTTGTTGCCTCAATATTTTCAGTATTTACTTTTTGTAACTTCAAGTACTGTTGGTAAGCAGGTGTCCCTTGAAACATTTTATTACTTCTATTATATAATATAAGGAAAAACGAGACAAATTATAACATGGTATATGGTAGAGTCATATGAGCTTTATTTATTGTAGCACAAATGGATCAACTTGACTGTAGGACCACACTCTCATAATACCTGCATAAAATAGCAGCTTACTGCTGCTGAGCTGAGTTGTATGGTGAGTGTAGAAAACCAGATACCCTTTTACTGGAAACACTAGACATTCCATCTTAGCCCTCAGGGGTGACAATGCATCTGTGTTTTGATCCTTAATTGAGGATAAATGAAGATATCTATGAGCCACAGCATTCACTTACCATCAGGTGGACTGTGTGCTCGTTTGTCACCCTTCTTCTATAAAAAAATATATAAATTTGAATGTTGAAAACCCCCAAATTTAGTAAAGGTACATCACAATAATCACATTTTATAGTATGATTTAAATAAGAACCACCTATGTCAATACACTTATTTATCTGGAGCACAAATCTTCCATTAAGAGTTACTTTTTGTTGACTTCTTAAATTTGCTGGAAGAGAGCCAGGACAAATTTCTTTTAGGTCATTTAATAGCCATTGTTCCTTTGCTAGATTTCGTACATCATTCTCTCTACAACTCTCATCGTTTTCCATCAAATATTCCACAAATCTGTAACCAAACAAACATTAACAAAGAATTGTTCATACATAGCAGAACTCGCCACCCATCACATTGTCTCTCGAAGGGGCGATAAACACATTGCTGTAATAAACACAAACACACATACTGTTTCTAGGACCAGTGTTTTAAGAGTTCCTACAAGGTTTGAAAGACCCCAAAGATTCTTGCAGGTAAGTCTTTGCTTAGATCTTGTTTTTGGAAAGAAAATTAAATGCTGACGAGGACTGGGGCTCATAGGAGCTTTAAACAAGTCTAAATTTAATAAAAAGTTATGACTTTAAAAATGGACAATGACCTTCGTGCATACTAAATGGATAACCAACCTCTGTCCTTTTCCCACTTCTACTATCAAACTATTATTATTAGTAATATGATTATGGCAAGGTAAGGTTATTTGTCTGAAAATATCAAATAAGTATCAGATTGGCCATATTAGTAAATTAATTTTATACTTAGTGTTATATTAAGTCTTTGATTTTGTATTAAAATGTTTAATGTTCCCAATATACAATGACTGCATCTCCTACCCCATCTAGTACTAGGTAAAGTCATAAAAAATATAAAGGAAAAGAAATACACGGCATGCTATATGTATTGTTTTATGTAAAACATAGTGCCTTTATCCAATTATACGCCTTTCCTTTTTACATCAGGAGATGCTTACCCATACCCACCTCACGGGGGCAAGGACGGATTATGTCAGACTTGCACTGATTAAAACTTCACAGTGTCCAACCTTCACTGCATTAGCATGTCCATAGTAATGCTTTCGCACACATCCACGGCCCCACTTGCACCAGCCGCCCTATAGCAGCCCCTACTTGGGGGGATGACTTTTCCACCCCCTTTTCCTTCTCAGGTAAAGTGCACCAGTACCACAAGGCGCACCTTCCACCGCGGTCTCTTAACTTCACCAGCGCATCAAACGCCCCTGAACCAAATATTCAGATGTCATGTGACCAGGTAAAAGCGAGCACTCGGAAACACCAGCTTTTTTGACCCCAGTGGCTAATCTGGTTGGAAATTGTTGCTCAGCCACCAACCAAGTTTCGGCCGCGGCGCCTCGCAATACCACATCATCAACAGTGCAACCTGGCCAGATGCGTAGGATAGTGTGAGTGGCGCATCATGTAACCAACACTTCCCTTACCCTGCGACTTCACTTCGGCAGGGACGAGATGGGGTAGAGGGCACCCTCATGCTGCAGTCCATCAACAAGGAGAGCTGTGGCACACCTGATGCTTAGTAATTACCGCCACCCATGAATAACAGAACAACAACTTCTTACTAAATGTATGTGTGTTGCCAGCCTCTTAAAAACTAACTTTTAGTAATAAGTAAAAGCAGAACTAAAATTAATATTTAATTTCACATTCTGAAGTTTGTGCTAGTGCCATGAAGTAAATGAAGCCATAATATAAAGAAGAATTAAAATCCTGACTACTCCTGCCCAAATTTTGCTGTGGATTAAGGCAACTGATACTGAAACCATAATTGTTTTACAAAAAAAAAAGCTGTATGGGCAGTTTATAACTTAAATTGAATAGTCCCTCAGATAATTAGAAACAAATAAACATTAATATTATGCATTACAATATAATGATTAAGAACAAAGATATTCATCATTTAAATACTAAGAACAAACACAAGCTCATAATGCCAGTTACTAGTACTCTTATCAGTAATGGAGTTTCAAGGTGTTTGAAATTTTGTACCATTTTGCGCACTTAATAATTCCCTTGACTTTCATGTTTAATTAATATTTTATTTGTTTTCACTGCAACTTTATAAAGATATCTTAGCTAAGAAATAAATATTATTTTCAGGAGAGAAAAGGAAATCAATTTAATGATTTCTTAAATTTACGCCAACACTACACATTGAATAATGTTATAAATCCGTAAATTTAGTTTTATTCAATGGAAATCAATTTACTGCAGCAGAAACGAAATCAATTAAATATTTGTTTATATACACTGTCGTGACTGATAGCAATGTATAATTATATCTAATCGTTAAGTGTTAACATACCCAGATAGCCATTCTTCAACGGCAAACATATGATGTGATTCTAAGTATTTTCGCACTGAATTCACTAGCAATTGTTGAGTCATTTTATGCTTTACTAGGGCAAATCATATGAACTAATTACTCAAAATTAATTCCTTATCCATTACCTCAAACATTATAATTTCCCAAATTTTCTCCCTTGTTTATCAAAATTTGCTGAAAGGGTGTCATGAAATTGAAAAATGGAGTATTTAATTGAAAAAAGCAAACAGACATACAAAACAAAAGTGTACAAACATAAAACTGGCGCGACCGGCGCCAATTACTATCTATTTAGTAATAGTGTCTGCTGTTCTGTGAGCATACTACTCTACCAACATCAACATATGACATTTTTTTTTAAAATAGCTGACAAGCAACCTAAGCGAATTATACTAGTGCTATAAATGTCTATCTTCGAATAATTTTATAGATGTAATGTTTATCGATATATGGTTTACCGATATTTATATATATTAAAAGTTCTTTATGTATAATTAAACCATCGGGAGAGGCCATGTGCGTTAATTCCTAAACAAAAAAGTCTGTCAATGTCAGGGGGGAGCAAGAAAAATACACTACTGTATACTTCACTACAAACGTAAAATTGATTCGCGTATACGCACACCAAGCATTTGTGTTTGTGTTCTTTGTGTTCATTGGTGCCGCTGTCTACATGCGAGAGCAACGTAAGGGAGGACGATATTATTTATCGATAAATAAATCATCATAGTCCGCATAAGTCAGCGTTGCTAAAAGTGATTTTTAGTATTTTTTCTTTCATTTGCTACAAGTCTACTGCTGAACATAGGTCTCTCCCAAAGGGTGCCACAAAGCACAGTTCTGTTGCACCTGCATCCATCAACTTCCTGCATGTCTTACCAGGTCGTAATTCCATCTATTGGGAGTAGCTTTGTACTTCACCCACGGGTACGAGGCTGCCACTCGAAAACCTTTCCCCCACCCCCATCGGTTGTCGATTCTTCGAACTATATGTTACGTGCCGAAGTCGACGTCATTAGCGCCATCTAGTATCGAACAGAAGAACTAAGCTTCTGGAAGCTGACTCTCGAATTTTCGACGCTTTGTCGATCGGTGCGCGTATTTACTTGAATGTTCTGGATGATTCGGTACTAATGTGTATTTATAGGCGTTGCAAGGTGCGATCGAGGAAGTATTCAATTCGGCGAGAGAAGCGAAGCTTCGGAGCGGAATAAAGTGAATCAGTGTGATTAATTATTGGTGTTTTAAGTTTTAATTTGTGTAAAGAAAATTAAAGTGTTAATTTAGGTAATTTTATCGGCAATTTTTATTGTCACGAACCTCAAGCTCGTAACAATTGGTGTCAGAAGTGGGATAAAATCATGCCGATTTTACCTAAGCAGGAAACGGAGGGTGTTCGTACTCGCAGTCAACGCCAGCATGAGACGGACCAGAGAAGATTTGGTGGTGCAACGCCGCAGACGTCGGAGGGCCAGCCGCCGGCAACGGAGGCCGGTCCGTCAGTAGCTCCTGCATCTGCAGCACCTGATTTAGGCGCCCTGATGGTGATGCTGCAGGAGCAGGCCCGCCGACAGGAGGAACAGGCTCGTCGGTTCGAAGAGCACTTGAAGCGCGGACAGGAGGAACAGGGCAGTCAGTTGAAAGAGCAGCAGGAGGAACGGGCCGCCGACAGGAGGAACAGGCCCGCCGACAGGAGGAACAGGCCCGCCGACAGGAGGAACAGGCCCGGGGGACGGCCTCGCTTAGAAGAGCAGCTCAAACGCGATAGGGAAGAGCAGATGCTTCTCATGAAGGACCTTCACGCTACCTTCGGGAAAGAGATAAGGGAGGTGAAGGATAAGGTTGCTCGACATGATAACCGCCTGTCGGAAGCTGAGACCCAAATCAACCAAGTTAAGAAAACGCTGGATGAACTCAAACTTGGAGATGGAATTGCAGCCCCCGCAGTAGCTACTACACCTTCGCTACGTGGGTTCAAGGTACCACCGTTCGACGGGACTTCTTCCTGGTCGGCCTACAAAATCCAGTTCGAGGCCGTCATGGAGGCAAACGGCTGGAATAAAAGCCAGGCCATGACTGCACTCACCTTAGGCCTGCGCGACCAAACCTTAACTGTGTTGGAAGCTCTCGGTAAGAAAGTGACCTACGAGCAGCTCCATGAGGCATTGGAGGCGAGATATGGTGACGCTCACCTGGAACACGTCTTTCGCGCGCAGCTTAAAGATCGCGTGCAACGCAGCAACGAAAACCTGCAGCAGAGGGCCCTTGAGGTGGAGAAGATGGTTCGAAAAGCATACCAGTCTGTACCTGCGCTCATTGAAGGGAACCTGGTGCAGACATTCATCGACGGAATGCGCGACCTTGAAGTCAGAGCTGTTATGAGGCTCGGGCACCACGAGACGCTTAAGAACGCCTTGGCCCATGCACTGGAGGTGGAAGCCGTGCGGCAGGACCTTCGCTCCCATCGCGTCAGGGAGGTTGCAGCAGCTACGGTTCGCGACCGCAATAAAGGATACAGCCCTAGGTGCTATGGCTGTGGGGAAAGGGGCCATCTTCGATCCAGCTGCCCTAAGCGAACCCTAGAAAGGGAAGGTGAACGATCTCAGAAGGGAAGTGCGGCTAACATCACCGCCCAGCAGCAGCCGGGATACGACTTTACTATCAGACATCGCAGCGGGAAATCTCATGGCAACGCAGATGCATGGTCAAGAAGACCTTGTCCTGAAGATCGGAAACATTGTACTAGGCTAGAGAGTAAGGAAGTAGTATCCGTGAGGATGCTCAGGACAGACCACCTCAGCAACGGGTGGAAGGACAGCCTGCTACATGCACAGCAGGAAGATCCGGACATCAAGCCGATTCTGGAATGGATGAAGGCCTGTGCTACCAAGCCTAAGTGGAGCGACGTCTCAGCGATGAGTTCAACCACGAAAAGCTATTGGGCCCAATGGGCCAGCTTGCTGATTCAGGGTGGAGTCCTGTGCCGTAAATGGGACAATTGTCGAGGAGACAGCTGTCGTTTGCAAATGCCGAATGTTCTACAGCTGTGCCATAATGGCCGTTCAAGAGTCCATCTGGGTGTTAAACGAACTCTGCTGAAGGTCCGAGAACTGTTTTACTGGGTCCATTATCGTGATGATGTCGAGGCTTGGTGTCGTACATGTACAAGTTGTGCGGCCGTGCGGGGACCTCAGACACGTAGTAGAGGAGCACTGAAATTGTACAATGTTGGTGCACCATGGGATAGGAATGCCCTTGACATTGCGGAGCCGTTACAGAAAGGCGCAAGAGGGACTCCTAAGATCGTCCATGTGGATCGCCTGGCGCGATATTATGGGGCCGATAATGCTCGGGACGAGCATTTCTTAGGAGGGGGCAGTGTTACGCGCCGAAGTCGACGTCACTAGCGCCATCTAGTATTGAACAGAAGAACTAAGCTTCTAGAAGCTGACTCTCGAATTATCGACGCTTTGTCGATCGGTACGCGTATTTACTTGAATGTTCTGGATGATTCGGTACTAATGTGTATTTATAGGCGTTGCAAGGTGCGATCGAGGAAGTATTAAATTCGGCGAGACAAGCGAAGCTTCGGAGCGGAATAAAGTGAATCAGTGTGATTAATTATTGGTGTTTTAAGTTTTAATTCGTGTAAAGAAAATTAAAGTGTTAATTTAGGTAATTTTATCGGCAAATTTTATTGTCACTAACCTCAAGCTCGTAACATATATAATTAAATATTTAACAGTGGTAGGGCCACGCGGCAGCTTTTGCTGTCGCACGGATGGGCCGGCTCAAACCGGGGTGGTACCACGACCTCACACAATATCAGCGTAGTCATCATCATCATCATTACAGCTCTTCACAAGTCCACTGCTGAACATAGGCCTCCCCCAAGTAATGCCACAAAGTACGGTCCTGAGCCACCTGCATCCATCGACTTCCTGCATGTCTTACCAGGTCGTCACTCCATCTAGTGGGGGGGTCGCCCTACACTACGCCTACCGGTACGAGGCTGCCACTCGAGAACCTTTCTTCCCCATCGGTTATCGGTTCTTCGAGCTATATGGCCGGCCCACTGCCACTAATCCGTTGGGTTATGTCGGTCACTCTGGTTTTACTGCGGATATCCTCATTTCTGAGTCTATCACGCAGAGAAACTCCGAGCATAGCCCTCTCCATAGCTCGCTGAGCGACTTTGAGCGTCCTCATACGGCCAACAGTGAAGGACCACGTCTCTGATACGTAAGTCATCACTGGCAACACGCACTGGTTGTACACTTTAGTTTTCAGAAATTGAGGTATACCTGACGAGAAGATGTGTCGTAATTTCCCGAACGCTGCCCAGCCGAGTTGAATCCGTCGATTGACCTCTCGGTCGAAGTTGGACTTACCTAGTCGGACTATTTGTCCGAGGTAAACGTACTCGTCAACAACTTCGAGCATAGTGCTCCCAACAACTACCGGCATAGGTGTGACATGGACATTAAACATGATCTTTGTTTTGTCCATGTTCATCTTAAGACCTATCCGTTGGGAGACACCATTGAGGTCATTGAGCATAGTGCTAAGGTCCTCCAGCGATTCTGCCATAAGGACTATATCGTCGGCAAATCGAAGGTGAGTGATGTACTCGCCATTGATGTTAATACCGTATCCTTTCCAGTCCAGTAGCTTGAAAACGTCTTCCAACGCAGCGGTGAAGAGTTTCGGGGATATAACGTCACCCTGTCTTACACCTCTCTGCAGTTGGATAGGTTTCGAACTCTGGTTCTGTACTCGGATAGCCATCGTAGCCCTACTGTACAAACACTTCAGCACTTCGATATACCGACAGTCAACTTTGCACCGCTGAAGGGACTGTAGCACCGCCCAAATTTCGACGGAATCAAAGTCCACATACGCCAGGCAAAGTGGCAGATTGTACTCTGTACAATCTGCCGCAGGGTATGTATGTGGTCTATAGTACTGAAGCCTTTTCGGAAACCGGCTTGTTCGGGAGGCTGGAAGTCGTCGAGTCTGCCTGCGTGCGAGACGATTTGTAATGACTCTCGAAAACAGCACG